TAATTTTATCTCTTATTAATAAAAATATTGAACAATAATGTCTTTGTTTTAAAATCAATTTACATTAATTCACCATTATAATTTTACCCTTATTTAATTAAGTTTTTGTATAATAATGTCCTTATATTTAAAACAAATTGTAAACCATCACCACCACCCAACCATCATTGTCAACAGCGAGCCAACCGCTGCCAGAAAGTTGCCAGATTCGCTAAAAATGCCCAAGAGTCGTTGGGAGCCTCCCAGCAACTCTTGGCCATTTTTAGCGACTTCAGCGACTTTCCAGCAATGGTTGACGATGGTTGGCAGTGGCTTGGAATGGTGGGGGTTATTTTGTTATAAATTAAAGTTTTACATAAGCTAGGGTGTTTTAACTAAATCTGAAATGTTGAGAGTTAAAAGAAATTATTAAAAAATTAATAATAAAAATAATATTATATTAATATTTAAAAAAAAAAAGGAATTTAGTAATTTAAATAACATACTCACCAATTTATTCCTTCCAACTAAACATATTAATATAACATACTCATCAATTTATTCCAACTAATCAAACACATTTTTCTAAAGATTCCCAATAATTTTCAAGGTAATTTAACTTTCTCGCAATCCAACATTCCTTGAACCAAACAGACCCTTAATAGTTTAATTAATAACAAGAAATGATGCCGTTTCTCTTCTTCTTCCCTTGGTTGTTAGTTATTTCACAAAGAGTAAACGGCATGTTCCCACCCAACGTTTGGCAAATCTGCAGTTCCCACCCTTGGTTTCATAAATTGCAGATTCCTACTCTTAAATTAACACCGTTACTTTTCTCTCAAAATAACCCCTATCAAATTTCTCTCAAATAATCCCAAAGGAGATCCCAGCGAAGCCAAAATCCGGCTTGATTTTGGCACCATTGGACCTCCCCAACACCACCATCAACATCCCCTTATCCTCCTCACCAAAACCCCTAACTTTTCCACCTGATTGCACCTCAGTAAGGTATTGGAATTTGGGTGGAAAGGTGTGACAAAACACGAAAACCTAAGGGAGAGGCGGCATTGATCGATGGGCAATTACGATCGGCGATGTTGGGGGTTTTGGGTGGGGGGAAGCCGGTAATGCTATTGGTGGTGTTGGGTGTGGTTTTCGATGTCGGGACCTACCAGAATTTGGATGAAATGCCGACTGAAACTAAAAGTAGCGACCTACAATTAGGGGGTTCAATCAGGCGGGGAGGTTTGGGGTTTTGATGTGGGGGTTAAGGGGATTGTAATGGTGGTGTCGGGAAGGGTCAATTGTGTCGGAAACAAGCCAGAATGGCCTGAAATTGCCGGTGGGGTGAATTTGAGAAGTGAATGGTTATTTTGAAATTTTCATCTTTGAAATGATCATTTTTCCTTTTGCACAGCTAGATTAAATAGTTTTCTGTTAATTTCATCTTTCACAAATTAAATTAGGATTATCAAAGTATTAACAAAGATTTAAGGCTTGTTTGGTACATGATTCTAAGAATGTGTTTGATATAATATCTAAAATATCAGAGTTGGATAAAAATATAGAATAGTTGCTTGGTACATTTTTTCAAAACATTTTCTAAAAAATATTTAGATTATTTTTTAACCCACTACATTTGTTAATTTATCTACAACCCCCACCCACCGAAGCCACTGTCGGCAACTGGCCACCACAGCCAAATGACAGCCAGCAGTGGCTGAAATGGCACACGACCAGCTGGATCTTGCCAGTTGTGCGTCGATCTGACATTTTCTAACTAGATCCACGTGGATCTCATCGAAAACGACAAGATCTACAGGCAGAATCTGACCTTTGTTAACAGCCAAAATCTGGTAGTCAATGACAACCAAGATATGGTCGTCATCAACGGCCAGATCTTTGGTTGTGGATCTGGCCATCTTTGTCGAAAACGGCAAGATCGGTGCACGATCGGTCAGATTCAGCCGGTCGTGCGTTGTTCCAACGTCGACAGCGGCTGGTGACCGATAGTGGCTTGGGTGGGTGGTAGGGGTATTTTTGTTACTTTATAAACTTTTATTGTGAAAGGTAGAAAAATGAGAGAGACAATAGTTGAATAGGATTGGAAAATAGAAATAGGATTGGATTTTTCATTTTCAGTCTAAAAAATGTCTTTCAATTAGATTGGATTTTGAATTGAATTCCGTCGATACTAAAATAAAAACGTTTTTTACTGTTTAATAGGATAATAGAATAGAGTTTTAAAAAGTTAAACAAACAGAGGTTGTGCTTTTCTTAACCTTTCACTTTAAGTAGGTCAATTTTTATTAAAATAAATAATCAACAATATTAATTTAATTAAAATTATGTGAAGACAAAAATGACTCTGGCTCCGTTTGGTTCAAAATTTTGGGTTTTTGAGAAAAGTTTTTTGAAAAAAGGTAAAAAAAAGTTGAATTGGGCGGGTATTACGATGTAAGATTTATAAATTAATAAATTACCTCATATGTTTATTTATTTACAAAAACACTCCTATGATAAAATATTAAAAGTTAACAAAAACACCCCCAACCCACCCTCAAATACGGACAGCCGGCCACCACCGCTGGAGCTATCGGCTATCGCCGTATCAACGCATGACCGACTGGATCTTGCCGGTCGTGCGTCGATATGGCCTTTTTCGGCCAGATCCATGGTGGATCTGGTCGGCAAAGGCCAGATCTACGGCCAGATCTGGCCGTCAATGACCAGATCTGACCGTATTTGTTGGTCAACGACGGCCAACAAACGGTCGTTGTTGACCTGTTACGGCCAAAGATCTGGCCGTCAAATACGAACAGCCAGCCACCACCGCTGGAGGGTGGCCGGAGTCACCGTATCGACGCATGACCGACTGGATCTTGCCAGTCGTGCATTGATCTGGCCTTTTCCGACCAGATCTATGGTGGATCTGGTCGGCAAAGGCCAGATCTATGGCCAGATCTGGCCGTCAACGACCACGTATTTGTTGGTCAACAACGGCCAACAAACGGTCGTCGTATTTGTTGGCCGTCGTTACCGACTGTTACGGCCAAAGATCTGGCCGTCAAAGGCCAGACGGCCAGATCTTTGGCCTTAGATCTGGCCTTTTTCGGCCAGATCCACCGTGGATCTGGTCGGAAAAGGCTAGATCGGCACACTACCGGCCAGATTCAGCCGGTAGTGTGCCACTCTACCAGATTCTGATCATTTTTCGGCGGTGGTGGTCGGAATCTGATAAATATGGATTGTTGGGGTGTTTTTGTAATTTTTAAAAAAATATTTAGGGATATTTAATTAAATTAACAAATTTAGAGGGTTTAAAAAAAGTTGAATAATATTGAAAGTAGTATTTGCAAAAATTAAAGTTTTTGGGTATCTTACTGTTTAACTTTTTTGGGAATACTAAAAGTAGTATTCTGAAAATTGAAACAAACGAGGCCTCTATCTCTATCATTTAAAGTCAAGCCAAATTGAATATTAAGGGCACGTTTTGACATAAATACTTCTAATATTTTTAAGATCTCATCACGTTTTTTTTTATTTCTTTGTAACACTATAATAGACCCCATCTACTTATTATTATTTATTTACAATTTTACCTTTTATAAAATTTACTAAAAATATATAATTACTTGTTTAACCAAATGGGTAAATTTTGAATTACAGTCAATTAAGATAAAATTGTGGTGCCAATAGCACCACTCTTTTAATATTAAAAATTTTGAAATAAAAACAAAAATAAGAATGACTTCATTTGCAAAGGCCATTTTTTGGTCATTTTTAAATTATAAATTAAAACCAAAACTTCTACTCCCTCGTTGAGAGAAAAAAATATTGTCATCATCTAAATATTTATAATTCAATAATGCTAGACATACAAAGAAAATTACAAAAATTTCTTGTACAAAGTGAGATATCAGGAGATGAATAGAAGAGTGAATACCAAAAGTCAAAGTCATCGTATTCATTTTTATATTCATGTCCTGCCACGTCACTTTGTATAAAAAATCTTTGTAAATTTCTTTATACATGTAGTATTACCCTTTATCATTTCTCATGCCACCTAGCAGGAACAGATGACATTGAATCATTAATGTTGTTGTTCTTAGCATTAGCTCTAAAGGCATAGAACTTGAGAAAAAGCTTCTACTAGATTTCATGTATATCACAATGCAGGTGAAACTAAAGAAGTATTCTATGACATGGAACCATAGATAGGTTGAAGTACAAGAGACGTGGTTCCAGGACCATCCCTAGAATCCACATCGTCCAACTCTGAAGATAAAGCTTGTCCATTCCAATCAACTTTGTATGGGCTCAGTGCATGAGAAGTATGAACTGTGGGGGCAGGCGATCAGCTATCGATGCATATAATTTATCATTTGCTCTACTATTTGGAGAACTTTCATATTGTGATGGTGCACTACTTCCTTCGTCAAGCAATCATTCTCGAGGAATAAATCGAAAAAACATTGATTCAATTTCCCTCCACTTTCAACTCTGTAATTTAAGGGAATTGAGGCTGTTGTTGTAGGTGACAACCGTACTACTGGCCACGGTTTGGGGCAGAGCAAAAATGATAGTCTCTATCATCTCAATCAAGCCAATTACCAAATACATATTTTCAATCTACGGTGTTATTATGAAAAATAAACAAAAAAACATTATGTAATACCATGAACTAGTGTTTAAATGTAATTTGTTTTTGTATATATTGAACTTGTTTTCAACTTTACCCCTTGTATTGATTCCACAATATAATCTTATTGGTTATTATCATCACCGCACACAATACAACCTTTTTGTATCAGATTCTACATAAGTGTAGCTAATCAATCTTCCCATACTATTGACTTGACCCATTTATTAGACACACGAAATTAACCCAAAAAAAAAAAAAAGTAAAAAAGAAAATATACCAAAAATCACTACAATTACTTACAGAATTAATAAACAATAAGAAATATATCAATTACCGCCTATATAATCATGCTATTAATAAACAATATACTATATAATCATGCTATGTGATCATATAATAGAAACTTCAATAATTTAAAAANCAAATCTTTAAACCACTGCTTCATTTCGACAAGAACTCCACTTTCTGTACTACTTCTGCTTAAATAAGTCTTGTACAATTCTTTTATTGAAGTCTGCACCTCTGAAGCTCTTATGTGCTTGAACATATCTAGCTTGTAGTTTGACAGAAGTTCAACGGTAATTATCTTGCGCATCTCTCGCCAGTAAGGCCCGTAAGGAGCAAAGCCAAACATAGCATAGTCATAACATAGAAGCTTTGAGGCAGCCATGTTTGGCCTGCTGGAGAAAGCCAAATCATGAACAGTAAAAATCTCTTTGGCGATTTCCCACTTACTCACAACCAAAGCTTTGTGTGAACCTAACCTTATAGTGAAGACTGATCCATAATTGTCAGCCATGTCACTCAGTGTTCTGTAAATCAGTTTCCGGCCACCAAAGAGGTGCATGTGGCCAATAATAGGCCAAGCACCACCAGCTTCAGGCACACCGCATCTCGTTGTCTTATGAGTGATTGGTTTCTTCGATTGATACAACTGGTAGATACAAATTGACAGGGCAAGTAGGCTACAGAATAGAGATAACAGAAATTGGATTAGAGGGTCCATGATACTTAGCGCTGAATGCTGATATTGCAAAAAAAGTAAAAGTGATTTATAGCTGTTCTGCGGCCCTCTTTGTTTGTTCTTATGTTTTTATGGATGTCATTATCTTTTAAGATGACTGCTCCAATCAGTTCATCGCATCCAGTCTACATTGAGTAATAATCTTAGTAATTGATTGACTGACTAGGGCGGCGTTTGTTTATTTTATACCTAAAAAGTTACGCTTATATCACCCAAATAAATGGCTGCTTTTTTTTTTTTTTTTTTTCATTTCATTAATAATCATTGAAGATCAACATTAATAATCATTGAACCCTCAAGTTGATCTTCAATGCTACTAGATTCCATACTATCACTCTTGCAAAATTCCCAAACCAACAGTTTAACTGTGTCAGACAATTTTAACAATTTTTTTATAAGACCAACAGCTGAGCCAAGGACAAAGTCCCAACTATCATAAGCTGTCTGAACAGATAAAGTAATACAATAAATCAATATAGTTTATACTTAATCAGAATAATTTAATACATGACATACTTAAATAGCACAATCAATTAAATAATCAGCAAACCTCATCTGTAAGGATCTCCGAATGAGATTCATGACCAGAAGTAGTTGTTGCAAGGTCGAAAAGAGTCTAAGGTTCCTCACCAACGCCAAGGTCTCTTGTCTCAGACTTAGCAATGGTGGACAGGAGGACAAGATTTACTGTAGGAGACTCAGCACCACTGGTAAGGCTGATGTCATCAATCGGAGTTGAAGTTGAAGTCGAAGTCAAAATCAAAACCAAAGCACTAAGAGAGTCAACAGTTGTTGGAAGGTCGAGGAGAGTCTAAGATTCCTCACTAGCGTCAAGGTCTCTCGTCTCAAACTTAGCAACAACGGCCAAGAGGATGAGATTTGTTGTAGGAGAGTCAGCACCACTGGCAAGGTTGATGTCATCGATCGAAGTTGAAGTAGAAGTTGAAGACATGTTATATTAAATCTGCCTTGTCTACTGTTGTGAGTGAATGCTGAAACGGCGTCGTTCTGAGTTAAATGGAACGGTGTCGTTTTGAGACAGCCCATGAATGATCCTGACCGCTAATTCAGAAGGAAAGCCAACGGCTGAGATCTAGCTTGGAGTCAACACTATAAAAGGTTTAGGGTTTCATGTTGTAACAGTAGATCGAATAAAAAAAGTTTAGAGCAGTTTTCGTTTTTCTTTAGAAAACTAGGGTTCTTTCTTTGGGTTTGATTCTTCTGTGTAATCTGTGGGTTCTTGAGTGATTTGGGGTTAATCAATCAAGGGAAAGAACTGCTGTGTTCTTGATATAGGGATTTCCAGTTTAGAGGAGTCCTAGGCAGATTACAGGTTCAGAAAGTGTTGTTCGATCTGGGTTTCTTGGAGAGCCTTTTCTTTTGTAATCGAGACTGTAATTGGGTGTTCTTTAATCATAGTGCAGCGAACTCTCTTTCCAGAGTTCAACGTGGATGTAGCTTGCTCAAATCGGGCAAGTGAACCACGGTAAAGTTTCTGTGTTGTTGATTGTGGTTTTTTCTGGTTTCTTGTTCGTTCCAGTTTACATTATAGGTTGATTGCATAACAGTGGTATCAGAGCCATCGTGATAGGGAGAAATCTTGTTTGAAATTGTTCAATTTTTGATAGATTGAAAAATTAGGGTTTGCTCGAAAAATTAGGGTTTCTCAGATTTTAGGGGTTTCTGAATCTAAAGGTTCCTAGAGTCTTAGAACTGTGATTCTTACTAAGTCTTGGGGTTTTCTTTGTGAGATTAGATCACAAACACTTGTTAAGGAGAGTGATCTTGGTCAGTGACGTGGGACTGTACTTGCTCTGTTCTCATTCGGTTGTCTGTCCAGTTTAAGGGTATATAGGCTGGAAACCAGAGACCGCCTTAAAAACTGCTTGGGCAGTACTTGGCAACTTCTGGTGTAACAACGCCACTTACTCCTTAGACTGTATCACATTTGTTTTTAATATCATGAGCACTACACGTATGGAGATCTCCCAATACGATGGGAAGATCGATTTCGGGAGTTGGAAGAAGAAGATGAAGGCTCTGCTTTCACATAACAAAGTCGCCCTGGCACTGGAGAAGGATCCAAAGAAATGGTACGAGCGAAATGAAGGAGAAAGGAGGAGAGATGAAGCTACCTACAATCTGATCGTGATGAACTTCAGACAGCGTACTGAGAAAGGTTGATGGAATCGAAACCCCTCTAGGGTTATGGGGTAACTCGAAACTTTGTATGCACTTCAATCTGCACCTAACTTAGCTTTTCTCAAGGGTGCTTTGTTTTCTATAAAAGGATAGTAGCAGAACAATAGAGGAGAACCTAGATGAATTCCTAAAAATGACCTTAATTTTAAAGGGCAAGATCAGGAACTAGGAGAGACTAGTCTAGCCATGATTCTGTTAAACTCCATACTGAGGATTACCTAGTTGTTAAGAATGCACTTCAGTACTCCGGTACTGTACCTAGTGTTGACTGTTGTGGCCGGTCTAAGGCTAGAGAACTTGAGTTGAAAGTCAAAAACGAACTGGGAGTAACCTATGTTGGGGAAACCAGATACCTTTCAATCTGGTAAAGGCAATCAACCTAGCCAGGGGTCCAAAAACAAGAAACGGGGTAAATGGAACATAAGCATAAGGCAGAGTCTAGGAAATGTTTTTTCTGAATAAAACTGGTCACCTGAAAAAGAATTGTTTTGAATGGCTTAAGAAAACAAAAGCAGGGAAACACAGAGAGTAACCTAGCCTCATCCAAACACTTAGCTGAAGAAACTGAGGTCCTTACTGTCTCTGTTACTGACAATACAAGAGAATGGGTGTTAGATTCTGGGTGCCTTTTCACATGAGTCCCAATAGGGACGGTTTCATGACTTTGAGGAATATGATAGGGAGACTGTGTTCATGGGGAACAACATGCTGTGAGTCAAAGGTAAAGGCAGTATAACCCTTAGACTCTGTAGTGGAAACTAATAAAACTTACTCATGTTAGGTACATCCCAGAACTTAAAAGGAACCTTAATCCTTAGGAACCTTAGATGAAGAAGGATGCTGTTACAGAGCTGAAAATGGGTGGCTGAATGTGTATAGAAACCATAATCTAATTCTGAAAGGAGAAAAAAGGAATGGATTGTACATCCTATGTGGGAATATATTCTGATTGCTAAGTTCTTCTTCTGTCAACCCAAATGTCAGTAACACAAAAATAGCACTTAGAGGGACATATGAGTCAGAGGGACTAAATATCCTAAGTAACCAAGGCATGTTAGGAAAAGACATTGCTGAAACCTTAGAATTTTGTGAGAACTGCATTTTAGGTAAACAGCACCGAGTTAGTTTCAAAAGGTATACACCTGGCCAAAGGTTGTTTAGAAACATACACTCTGACTTATGGGGTCCTGAGAGAGTGAGTCTCATGGGGCAGTAGCTACTTTATGTCCATTGGAGATGACTTTAGCAGAAAAGTGTGGATTTACACCCTTAGAACTAAGGACCAGGCTCTGTCTAAATTTCAAGAGTGGAAAGCCCTTGTGGAAAACCAACTAGACAGAAAGGTGAAAACCCTAAGGAATGAAAATGGATTAGATGTATGTAACAGTGAGTTTGATCAGTTTTGTAGTGAGCAAGGAATCCTAAGACATAGGACAGTGAGAAGAACCCCTCAGTAGAAAGGGGTAGCTGAGAGGATGAACAGGACACTCCTTGAAAAAGTCAGAGCTTGTTGTTCACTTCAGGGTACCAAATACTTTCGGGGAGAGGCTTTGTCCACGCAGCATACTGATAAATAGGAGCCCCTCAACTGCCATAAATTTCATGTCCTGAAGAAATGTGGTCAGAAGAAAGCCTGGGTTAAGCCATTTGAGAATCTTTGGGTGTACAGCCTATGCTCATACAGTGGGAGGAAAGTTAGAGCCTAGATCCACTAAGTGTGTGTTCCTATGATATCAAGATGGTACCAAAGGGTATGACTCTGGGACAGAAAGTCCCAGGGGTAAAAATCATCATTTCCAGGGATGTGGTCTTTAATGAAGGAGAGTTCCCTTGTAAAACCAATGACAGAACACTGCTAAAAACCCCAACTGAACCACCAAAGACACAACTGAGAGTACAACCATGAGGTGGAGCCTGTGGGTCAGCAGGCTGAACCACCCCAACCTAATGAGGAACATGCACCTGAAAACCAACCAGGATCAGAGGATCCTGGATCTGATAGTGAAGAAAATGAAGCAGATGCCTCAGGCCCCAACAGCACACCTAGAACACTATCAACTTGCCAGAGACAGATAAGGAGGGAGGTAAGACCCCCTGCCAGGTTTTCTTATGCTGAACTAATTTACACTGCTTTGCTTGCAGGAACAGGGATTCAAAGAACAGAACCAGACTCATATGAAGAAGCATGAACTCTAAGAAGGGAAAAATGGAGGAAGCAATGGAAGAGGAAATGAGGTCACTTGGGTAAACAGGACCTGGTCCTTGGTTCCAAACCCAAGGACAAAAACTAATAAATGTAGATGGCTGTAACAAGATTAAAGAAGGAATCTCAGTACGACCCCTTAGGTACAAGGCCAGGTTAGTAGCTAAAGGTTACCCCCAAGGAAGAAATAGCTCAATGAAGTCTTTTCCCCGTAGCTAAGTATAAAAACCATTAGGTTAATGCTCTCCATTGTTGCCCATTATAACCTAGAGTTAGAACAGATGGATGTTACCACTGCCTTTCTGCATGGCAACTTAGAGGAGGAGATTTACATGTGCCAACCCCTAGGTTTTATTGATCCCAAGAAACCTAACCATGTGTGCATCCTCACAAATCACTGTATGGACTGAAACAGTCCCCAAGCAGTGGTATAAAGGTTTGACAATCATTGTAAGTATAGGATACATAGGAGTAGATGATAACTGTTTTTATTTTAATTTGATCATAATCTGCCTGCATATCTTTTACTGTATGTGGATGATATGTTGTTTGTGAGTAAGTCAAGTCTAAAATTCAT